ACTCGCGCTCTCCGAGGTGCTGAAGTCGTGGCCCGCGCGGCCCCCAGGGCTTGGCCTACTTTCACCCTAAATCACACACGGACTTCTCCGTCTCCTGCCCCTTCCGCAAAGCGCCCCTCCTCCCCTGCCTTTTCGGGCCCTGCTAGTAGGAGCGGGTGGGCCTAGCGTCCAGGTATCAGGTAATGAATTTCGGGACCAGGGTCCCGGGCCCGACTTGGTTCCCTGCAGCAGCCAAAGAAGGCGGACTGGAAAGGCGGCAAGTGGAAGAAGACAAAGGTGAGAAGGTGTCCGGAGCGCGCTCCTAGAACACACAGGTTTGGAGTCTGGCCTCCCAAGTGAACAGGTGACGTGGTCTTGCATTAGTGACTTAACAATCCTAAGGTTTGCTTTTCTCACCTAGGAATGGGAACAATAATGGTTCCTCACGTGGTTGTTCTGCGGTTGAAATGTAATATTAATGTCAGGGGTTCAGGTCACACCCCATCCTGTCCCCTTACCTGGAGGAGGCCCTCCTAAGGACTCTACCTAGAGGGTGTTCTCTCTAAAGATTGACCCAAGCCCCATTTCAGCCCCAAACAGCTACTAATGGTGAACTAAACCCTTCCTCGTGGCTTCTGCCTCAGCTTCTCCTTCTCCATGTCCGGCGTTCCCTGATTTTCCCCCTTTTCTCAACATCTCAACTGCAGCTTCTGCAGAGCATCCCTCTTTTGTACCCCCAGACACCCTATAGCTGGCTTCTCATATTCTTTTTTTAAAATATATTTTTATTTCAGAGAGGATGGGAGAGGGAGAGAGAAACATCAATGATGAGGGAGAATCATTGATCAGCTGCCTCCTGCACACCAGCAACAGAGGCATGTGACTGGTAAACTGTGACTTCTGGTTCAGAGGTCAACATCAACCATGGACAGCCAGGCATGGCTTCTCACACTCTAAGACTCTGGGCCTTTCCTTCTACCCCCTCCCCACCCCCAGTGACCTTCTTGTGATTCTTTTGGTGTTTTTTGTTGTTGCTCCTTCCAGCACCTCTATCCATATCAGGTTTAGGCTGTGATTGGTTTCTTCCTGGTCTTCTCTCCCCTAAGGCTAGTTCTGCAAGTTCTGTCCCAGAGCATGGATTGCTGGACATGCAGGCTGCTGGCCGAGGCCAGGCCCCAGCTTTGGTGGGTCATAGAGCTGCTAGCCAAACCTCACTGGCTTCTCTGGCCACTCGAGACAACCAGACAGGTCCTGTCCGTCACCCCTCTCTGAAGAAGGGGCGGAGCAAACTGTTTCACAGCTTGTGGAAACCTATTTACAAACCTGGACTTCCAACTGGTTAATCACCCCCTTTTCCTTCAATGTAGCACCCAGAAAAGAGCTGCAGGCACCAGGCCTTCAGCAAACAACCCCCAGTTCCAGCCCCAAGAACAGATACCCTATACATGGAGCCAAAGGCCTTGGTTTCCCTGCCCCAGGCCCAGAGGAATGGCCACTTTACCTTTCCTGCTATCTTAGCCCAGACTCCTTTCATTGTGCCCAGTTACCACCTACTGCTATGGTGCCTGGCTTTTCCTCCCAGAAAAGCAATCTTACCATCATAGCTAATGATTGTTCCTTAGACTGTGTGTTTGTCTCAAATAGGGGGCATCTCAGGTTAAGGGTGTGTGTGTGTGTGTGTGTGTGTAGGAAAACTCCATCTTCCAGAACATTTTTCTCAGGAACAAAGGTATCCCTTGTTCTTAGCTCCCGAGGTTAAGCCAGGGCCACTTTACATAGAAGCCAGGAGAAGGGAGAAAGGGAAGGCGGCCATCGGGGGCTTCAAAGCAGGGCCAAGAATGAAACAAGTCCTCGGGTCAAGTCCCTCCCTTTTCCCTTCTCACTCTTTGCAGGGCAGCTTGTGATACACTTGGTCCTTGCCTGAGCCCCTTCCCACAGGAAGTTGGCGTGTGGCTAATGCTCTCACTTCCATTGGTCACAGGAAAGCCCATGAACACTGCACAGAGAGGACCACTCTGGTCAGATGGCATGAGACAATCAGCATCCAGACCCTGGTCTTGGCTGTGGGCAGATCTCGGCCAGCTAACCAAAGCCAGAGGGCGTGCATCCCTTCTGCACCACTCGGCTTTGGCTTAAGAGTTGGAGTTGAGGTAAAGGATGGACCAAGGGCCTGACTGATCCCCAGCTTGGGGGTTTAAGCAGACCAAAGGCTGGGCCAATGCAGAGAGCACTCAGGAACCTCATCCTGGGCCTAGAGTGCTCCATACCATCCTGGCTGATGGACCCCCAACACTGACAAAGATCTGGTGCTCCAATTGCTCACCTAGGAGTCTTCCCCTTCCTCTCTCTCCCCAACCCCACCTCCCAGGAGCAGTGAGAGGCTCCTGGTTCCAGCAGAACCAAGATGGTCTGGCTTAACCTTCACTCAGGCTCAGCCTTACTCTCCGTCCTTGGACCTCCCACAAGACTGACGACAGCACAGCTTTGCTCAGATAAGATCAGACGTTTATCAAACAAGTGAATGTTCACAAACTGTGGGAGAAACACACTTTCCCAGCAACAGAAAATCTCTATATAAAGTGCATTTAGCCTGTGACCATCTCTTCCCCTGCTGGCCCTAGGATCAGGATTTGGGGCAACGCTCTGCAACAGCCCCCAGGGACACCTGGGCCAGGAGAGGGGAGGCACAAAGCCATCATGGAACTCCAGGCCACTGGATGCACCCTTTCCTCACCTCACTCTGCCCAGCTCCTGGAGTAGACCACTCTATTCCACTGGGAATGGGCCAGCATACCAGGGAGGATGAAGTAGGGGTACGTGGTCTGGCCAACTTATACCTTAGGGAAGCGAGCCATCATGAAATAGGCAGGAGAGGGGGCTCATCCTGATATGTGAAAGTGCTGCTAAATAAATATGACCTGGCCCTAAGCCCTCTGGCCTTCTCAGTTTTTCAGACCAGCCCTTCCAGGCTTGCTCTAGTCCCCTTCTAGCAACAGTCCCTAGTTCTCTTTCCTCCTGGCTGGGGCTTAGGGAAAGGTTTCGAATACACACCGTCACCTGTGCCCTGTTCCCCCACAGGACACGGGACAGTTCTAGTGAGGGTGACATACATACAACAGTTGGACTCTAGAGGCGGCTCTTTGGCTGAGCGAATCTCAGGAAGAAGCCTGTCAGGTGTTGGACAGCTAACAGGGATGGGCCTGCGCCCAGGGACTGGTCCCAGGACAGAGGACAGTGAGGGACAGGGCTGGGGCCCAGGGAGTTAACAGCTAGGAGGCTGGGAAAGGTCACAAAGGTATCCCTTTGTTTCTTTCCCAGCAATTTGGGAGGTAGAGGAGAAGGCCCAGAGGCCAGCTTAATGTTACATGTAAAGACAAAAAATCCAGAGGAATTAGCCTCTCAGTTATGAGTGCGTACACGCGCACGCACACACACACACACACACATGCACAAACGCTCATACTTTGTGGCTCAAGTACAGGCCACAGGGTGGAAAGAAGACTTGCTGCAGCTGACCAGTCCTTCTTTCCATTATTTTTCTCAAGACAGGCCTTCGACAGTGGGAGGTTGAGGTGGGAGGCACAGGCCACTCCTGGAATGTAAGGACTTTGTTTCTCTGGGTCAAGCCTCCCGCCTGCTGCTTCTGGTGTGTTGGATTGGTGTGCTGGGTAGGCTCTCTACTTAGATCTTAACCAACTGTGCCTGGCAGTCCCCACCCGAGTCCATCTGCCTGGGTCCTTGGCACCCAGCTCCCGGCAGGGCTAACATGGCAGCTTGGAAGCTGATCAGTCCTGGGCAGGCTGTGGAAGACTACAGATCAGACTAGAATGGCTCCCCTGGATGGGTGTCAGCTGGCCTCAGTGGCAGCATTGTGGTTCCTGGAGTGTGGCCAGAGGAGCCAGGAAGCTGGCCTCCTCCTGGTGGAGGCCCTGGGTCTCCATGGTCAGCTCTGAGGCTGGCTCTCAGCTTCTAGGGAAGGAGCAGCGAGAGCCGGGTTACTATTTCTAACCTTAGGTTGGGAGCCCCACAAGGTGGATGCAATTCCCAGGCTTCGTCTACAGTACCGGCCGTACACACAGGTACTGGCGTACTTCTGTACGATGGAAAGTTTACAGATCTGCCCACAGCCTTGTGCTCTGTCCTAGATGCCTGAGGAAGGGTCTGGAGGACCCAGTGACAGGGAATTTTTAAAAAAGAAAGAAACCAAGCCAGGGGACTGTGTCCAGGGTCAGGAGGAGCTCAGCAGGGCTCTGGCCGCCTCTAGAATCCCAAGCTCTGGATAAGAGCCAGAAATGTTGCCCTCCTGCTCCTCAGTCTGATGTGAGGAGGGAGGGAGGGAGGAAGGGCTGGGGGAGGGGCAGATGCTGGAGTCCCAGCTACTCTTCTGTTTAGACAAGGCAGCCGGCTCGCAGGGACAGGTGGTGGCTGAAAATCACAGCCCTGACCTCTAACCTGGTGTCTGAAGGCTGAGGTGAAGCTGCTACAGGTACCTCTCCAGCCCAGGCAGTGTTCAGAATCACAAGAGTGTAAACAGATGCATGCACACGCAAATAGGCACACACTCCTTCCTCTGCACGCGCGCGCACACACGTTCGCTCGATCTGCTGATGATCAGTTTTTCTGCCGGTTGCTCTCTGCTGCCGTGGTGGCTGTTCGGGCACCCAGGCTTTGCTCACGGAGCCACAGCGCTGCAGCTGAAAGAGAAAAACAAGGGTTAAAAGGAACATTCAGGAGGCTGCTCAGTTGCCCAGGGACACAAGCTCCTCTGTTTGCTGCTCTGGGGATGCTCAGACTGAGAACTGGGATGAGCGGACCACATGGGCCACAGAGCCCAGGGACAAGGTTGTTGCTGGGATGCCACTGGGTGCCTGAACACTTCCCCTCTGAGGAGGAGGAGGAAGAGGCGATGGAGGAGGAGAAGGCCATGTGAGGGTCCTATGAGGCCTTTGGGATACTGATCAGATATGACAAGGGCAGTTTCTGAATCGAGGCAGAATTGGCTGCTGCCAGAAATGGAGAGTCAGAAAAAAATGGCTCGAAGAGAAATCAGCTGGTGACAGTAATTCTGAAGATGAAGGCCATGGCTGTGTTTAGGAATTTCCACATAGAGGTAACAGAACCCTGGTACTGTGCTAGAGGTTGAGGGGAGAAGAGGGGAGACACAAGGACTAGGCTGATGGACAATCTCCTGGACTATGAGGCAAGAAACAGGCACTGACCTCTACATCCCAGCAGTGTCACTGGGAATTACTGCTACAACCTCTCAGCTGGCTCGCTCCCGCCCCCATTTCCTCTGGGGGTCCCAGCCCAATGCCTGGTCCATTTTCCAAAAATGCCAGTTTTATCATTTCACTCTCCTGTTCTAAAAGCCTTTAGCTCCCAGAGAGTAAACCAAGAAATCACCCGCCTGACATTTAAGACACTCCATGATCTGATCCAACTATAACTTTGTTCTTTTGAAATAATAACAATATCTATCATCATTATCATCCTCCTCCTCCTCATCATCATCATTGCTACCATTTCCTATGCAACACTTGTGTCTTATGCAACACTCCCGGTTGTGCACACTTCCTGGCTAAGAGAACCCAACTTTTGTTCAGTGGGTCATGGGCGTGGGCCTGGCAAAGACATGGGTCATGGTTGGTCTACGTCAGTGAGTCTCAAAGTTCAGTCCAGAACAGCATCACCAACTGCTGGGAACTTGTCAGAAATGCAAATTCTAAGGTCCCGCCCCAAACCTACTCAATCAGAAACTCTGTGGGTGGGGACCAGCAAGCTGTGGCTTAACACATTCTCCAGAGGATTCCATTGCTCACTCAAGTTGAAAAGCCAATGGTCTAAACTAATCTGGACAAAAGCAGGATTGGGGTGACTTTTTTACTTAGTTCTGGCTCTTGAGACCAATGTGAAACACCGGGGAGGGTGTTCTGAGAAAGCTTCTATTTTCTTGATAAAATGAAGAGAGCCATCCACACTATATCACATTTATATGTCTTATGCTCCCCTTTCTCGCACACCTGTTGGCAACAATTTCATGCTGAATTTCAGGCTTACTGAGCAACCTTGATCTAGACATTTAACCTCTCTGTTCTTTAGTCTTCTCACCTAAAGGTCAGAATATCAGCCTGGCAAGTTTCAGATTTGTAAAATGGGATGAACTTTGCTTAGTATCACAGGGCTAAGCAATAACTGAGGGAGCGGTATCTAAGGCTGCTAGTGCTCCTTAGAACAAGATAGCAAAGATCTGTCCACCGGCAAAGAGCACAAATATCAAACACTTACTGTCCCACCACATTCAAGCCTGGATGCTCCAACCAGCAGGCCTGCCCAGCCTGAAGCAGGGGGGTTTGGAATAAGAATCAATGGGCTCCATGGAGCCCATCACCCTCCAATCTCATGGTACATAAGGAACAGCCTGAGATGATGACTCAAAGAGGACGATCACTTACATTTCTCCAAGAAAGGCACAAAAGGCTCTTCCTGCTCTAGGGAAGGAGGAAGCAGGTTTGCTTTTTAAAAAAAACAGCTTTCAGGAGGTTTCCAAGAAAGATGAATGCTAACAGGAAAGCACAGAGCCAATGCCATGAGAAAAGTGAGAATGGCGGAGTGGCTGTCAGAGGCACAGAAGAGGGGAGCTGGGGCACTAGTCCTTGGGGGGGCGGGGCTGGGCTGAGTGAGCCTTTTTTTTGAAGGCCAGTGCTGCCCTCCCCTGGCCTGCTTACAGAACACAGCCAATGGGGTGACGGCAGAGGGGCCTGGAGCATCCTCAGACCCTGCCACAGGGCCAGTTCTCCCACAGCTTCGCATCCGGGTCTCTGCTTTCTGTTAGATTTGACTCACTTTGAAAAGTAGAAAGAGCCCCTCCTCCCCAATTTCCCCCCCTTAGCTGGCAAATAAAGAGCTTTACTTTAAAATTTCCTTTTACATTTTAGAAGGTATAGAAGTCAGAATGGTAGAATTTTTTATCTGAAATCCTAAAAAATCATGCAGCTCCCTCCAACCAACTTTTAATCTAGTTTGCTGGGTTTCAACCTTCAGTCAGAAGGGAAGTAGTTTTCCGCACCTGCCCCCACCTCCCTCCCACCTTCCCTTCTGAAGCTGAGTGTCAGTAGCTGCCACTCACTCTCAGACATCCCTGCTCGTCAGCCCCGCGGCGGGCAACTCCGCCACCCTGGCCCGTTTGCTGAGTTCTTCACCAGGCGGCTCCTCAGCTGCTTCCAGTTTGCGCTTGGGGGATGCTGGGCCACTGGGTAGTGGTTTGGGGCCTGTGGGGAAGCAGATCAAAGTGTCACACAGGCTGTGTGTAGAGCCAAGATGACCTGAAACCGTGTAGTGGTAGCTCTTTAGGGGCAGGAGCCTGTCACCAATGCAATGCGGCTCCTCAGGCCTAACCCCGGACCTTCCTTTCAGCAATGACCTTGCCTGGAAAGGTTCAAGGAGAGCACGACCAGGCCTGCTGGCAGCAGAGCCAGCTTTTGGGCCCCAAACCTCCGGGCTCCAGGCCTGATTTGGCCTGTCTGCTGTCCTTGC